GTTACTTTTTTCCCTGTAAGAACAGTAACAAACTGAAATTTGGTGGAGAGGCTGGCTTCCAGCTCCCCAGGGACGAGGGTGTAGGAGAGGGATACAAACGGCAACATTTTGCTTCTCTGCAAACTCCCACATTTTCCCCATCTGTCCTAATTTGTAACTCTCGTATTTTCCCCATCCATCCTAATCCCAATCCCATGCACCTCTTTGAGCAGTGTTTTCATGCTCTCTACCCAGGCTTTCATCTCAGACAGTCTCTCTCCTATTCAAACACAATGTCTAGCATTAAAGTGTGACTGGCTTTCTTAGTCTTCACCTATAATAAAAATGAGCCTGGCTCAACAGCGATAATGATGGCAATCCTTTTTCAAGTTTATAGCTTTATTACTCAAAATGCTCTTACTGTGAAAAAAATCTCCTTTTGGTTTTACATGGGTAATAAACATCCACACCGGCGTGCACGACCAGGAGATTTCGGTACTGGCTGGCTGGCAGAGCGAGGGCCCTCGCTCCTGCGGCTATCCTGCGCTCAGCCCAGCTCCACAGGGTGCTGGTACGCAGCCCTGGCCCAGCTCCACGAGAAGCTGGTACGCAGCCACGGCTGAGCTATATAGGGAGCTGGTAAGCAAGGAGCTGGTGTGCAGAAACATGCACAAAGGTAGCAAGAAGCAATCTGGACACACAAGATTCTGCTGCTCCATCCCCTCTCTGCCCTTCTAGAAAAAAAGAAAAAAATAATATAGGCAGAAGCCTCCGTGCCAAGTCCTCCGCCACTGGCAGAGGTTTTCAGGCTGGACACTGGAAACAAGATTTGGGAAATACAGCGGGAACAAGGGAAGAGAAAGGAGGGCATGTGCAGGCTCATCAGTTCCCGATAGGCGCGGGGTTGAAGTGAAAAGCTTCCTGATGACCTCCAACAAGCTACTGGAGCATGAATATAGCAGCTAATTGAGAGGCAGAGTTGATTGCCTGCACTGCACTTAGAGGCTTCAGGTTAAAAAAACACAGAAGAAACCTCAAAGCGATACGTGAAATTATAGAGGACACAGGCAGAGAGCACAAGGAGACGGATATCTGGGGTGTTAAACCTTAACCACAACAAGCAGCAAAATGTTCAGCTGTTAATTTAGAGCCCAGAGCTGAAGGGCTTGCACCTTTCTGCCTGCTGAAGCCTTTGCCTGCAGCAAATAGATGTAATCAAATTACGGGAGGCTGTTAAGCACTGGCAATAAACTATCCCTGGACATACACAGGGCTGTGGAGTGTTCCTTAATAAACTGTAAAATTTCTTTCACTCTCACCTGGTGTTTTGTAGGTTGCCGTTCATTTTCCTTCTGGAAGCGATGGCAAATGCAGGATCAGTTTGTCAGTGATGTACGGAAATTTTTTACCGATTCTTGGAAATTCTAACTGTCCCTGCCTCCAAATAATCTGGCCTCTCTCTAATTTCTTTGAGAAAAGAATATATTTTAGAAAAGACGGCCAGTCTAGCTTTCGTTTTCCTGTTGCATGTGTGTTTGTGCGCCTGCGTGTGCACGCGCGCACGTATATAGTAGTGCTAGAGCAGGTGTTACTCGATGATGTGTTGACACTGAAATTAATGTTTATCCTCAAAGCAGTCATTGTGCATCAGGTTCATTCATTATCCTGGAACAAGGACAGCTTCTTTCTCTAAACCGTCCTGCAGGCACATTTGTGTGGAGCATTATGATGAATTCTGCAATAATCACCACCCCAGTGTCTGGCACAACCCAGTTTCAGCCACAGGCACATATCATACCTTTCATCCAAAGCAAACAGCTAAAAATTAACACTTAAGTCATCTCCTAGGGTTGCCATGTGACATAGCTGGTAATACAAATACTTAACATTGTAAAATAAAATCAATATTAAGTCCTTTAATAATGCAATGATTTTATAATATAACTATTAATAACGAGCATCAACTTATTTTTATTTATTTTGAAGCTACAGCAGTTACACTAGAGACACTAAATCATCTATAATATGTAACCAAAGAAATCACTGCTGAGAACCGCAGAAACGTCAAGCTGTACAGAGGTCTGTCCTCAGTCCCTCTGTCCACAACAGTATTTATAGTGTGCGGTCACATGTTGAGGAAACTTGGACGGTATAAAGGCACAAGAATAACTATAAATGAACCAAAAATGAGCACCCCGGAGTAGCAACAATAAGAAACCCAGAAGGCTTTTGGAAAGCAGTGCATTTTATTCCCACATCTCATTCTGCAGTCTTCCGCTGATGCTATTAAAATACCTCAGCACGAGGCAGTATTTTTATTTTATTGTGCGACAGTCTCTGTTACTGAAAAAGTGGATTGCATTTGCCAAATTCCTGTTTTAATTTAGGGAATTTACAGGTATAAACAGAATACAATATAATCACATTTTGACTATACATGCAAGTGTACAACATCATAACAGCAGCTTTTTCAACAGTCAAAACTGTTTGAATTTCCGCAAGTTTCTACTAATACTTCAACAACAGTAAGCGGCAAAACACTGAACTCTCCCAGGAAAAAGTCCTGCAACAAGAGTCCGGGGGGAGAGCTTTCTACGGCACGTGCCAAACACGGAGTGTACGCTACGGGATCTAAGACTGGCATCCAGGTGGTAAAAAGATCCACATTTCTTGTGGACAGAAAACACTGAGCACAGTGAGGACAGATCAGAAACGTGGGTTTCTCTTCAGCCATCTGTATGGTTACAATGCAGTTCAATATCGTAATGAGTTCAGTAATACAGCAACTATAAGTCATAGGCACAAACTTCTTTAGTCTAAGATGCATTTGAAAAACTAACAAAAACCCTATTACATTAGCCTATAAACAATAAATAGTGCTTTTATTGAAAAAGATGCCATATGGAGCTTGAACAGAAAGTAAACGTATTTTGGCATACAGCCAGTATCTCTCGACTCTTAAACACAAGCTATACATAATGTGTGATGTACCGATCTCCATGCCCCGTCCGTCCCCCAGCTCAGCAGCTACAGGCTTTTAGCCTGCATGTCTTTATAGCCCTCTCTTTCAAAATTCATGGGTGATGTCAGGTCACCCAACTTCTGCACTCACTCAAAAAACATACTGTCGCACCCGATGTTTCTGCCTGCATTTATTCACAAGAATCTAAAGCTCCCCCAGATCAGTTTTGCAAATATTCCTCGCTGGGTAAATTGCTCTTTTCGGATTTCAGTGCTGAACGCGCTGTGAGACTCGTGCTGTGAGACTCGTGCTGCCTGCGTAGCTTGAGAAGGCATTGGGCTAGGCACTGATTAATTAGGGCTGCGGGAATAACTGATTTTCAGTTCAGTGGCTTAATAAATAATAATAATAACAACAACAACGACAACAACAACAACAAACTTGATTCGTTTTTTCAGGAGATGATAACAACTTGTTTCAGCCTGTAGTCAAGATGACCTGATGGCTGGGGCACCCTTTTGGGATGAGGAAGACTCAGAGTCAAATCTCTTCTCTGCCTGGTTCTGGGCAAAGGTTTGACCCAAGCACTCCCGCCTCCCAAAAGGGTATCCCCAGGCTAAGGAATACTCAAATGCTTGTTTCCCCAGTCTCTCCCGTTAAATGCATGTGGTACAAAATATTAGCATGTTCAGTAGGGGCCCCGCTGGAACACCTGCTTCCCCCTTCCCACCGGAGCGCTGGAATGGCCAGGGTGGAGAGGCAGCGCTGCCTCTCGCAGCCCGCCGGGACAGCCTGGGCACAGGGAGCGGCTCCCACCAAAGCCACGGATGCCTTGGTGCCGAACACACCGAGCATCCCAGCCCGTGAGCGCTCAGCTGTGTGATCTGCCGGAGCACACTGCAGCTCCCTGCCTGCCTGCCTGCCCACGCTTTCTTCCACCGGACACCGCAGCATGGGGACAGCGAGGGCTGGTATGCACAAAGCCATGTCCCAACATGCGGCCGGGATACAGAAAAACTCTCCTGCAAAAGCACTCCTGGGAATCCCGGCCGAGGTGGTGTCCCCAGTTCTCCTATCAGCCTGCACTTCTGAGAGGGGAAGATGAAGAGGACACCTAGGTTCCAGGCCAGGCTCTGCTTCACCTGACCTTAGGGTACCAGGAGGGGATAGCACAAGGCACGCACTGTCTCCCTATTTTTTTAGTAGCCCTCCCAAATCAAATCAATACAGTCCAACATTTCCAATCCCTTTTATTTGGGTCAAAGTAATATTCCCAATGCTACATGTGGTTAAAGTTCATAGAAAAAACATCCTTCTTTTGCTGACCACAGCTTCTCAAAAGTTCAGATCTGGTTCTGCTCTCATGTACACCACCGCAAGACGAAAGCATTTCTACTGAAGACACAAACCACCCAATGTAAACGAGGTCCAAGGCCCAGCCTGGCCACAGAATCAGGGAGAGTTTCAATTCTTCAGTTAAGAGGGTGATTTTACAGCAATACAACTGAAGTGGCACAACCTCTAGCTCTGTTGCAATTGTATTGACACAGAGGAGCACATAAAAGTACAGTTAATAGGAGCTTGTATATTGCAGGAATGTATTTGTATCGAGTACCTATAATTGGATGGATACAGATAGGGAAGCACATCGACAGAGCCTCCGAATGGTGTTAAAATCACAAGGCTCCAGACACAAGCCAAGTCACAGGCCACCGCTGTGTCACTGGCACTGCCGACTATCTTAATGGTACTGCTGTCCCCCATGGCCCAGGCTGCTGGGCAAGCGCCCCGTGACTTGCCGTCGCCCAAGTCTCTCTGCATCCACAGCAGAGGACTCGGCACCGTTAGCTGTGGTGGGTCTAAACTGATGCACTGAAAGCAGCTGAAAGCAAGCCCAAAGCATGAGCTAACTCTGGCCTGTTGCTTTTTGACAATGAGGTAAAGTCATCCTACATGATTTGGATTTGTCAGCATTGATGTGGAAATGTATGCTCTGCCTTTCCCCCTGTACAGAGAACCAGGTGTCTGTCCTCAAGCAATAGGTTTTCAAACCTGCTTTTTAAGGGTTCGGTAGCTCTTCATTTTCTATCAAATAATCCTTCTTTATGTAAGTAGCACCCCTCACCAACCTCCATACTCCAAGATAGGCATCTTTCAGCGAGCTCCTGTTCACTTCTTGTGTGCCGGTGGCTTTTCCCTGGGCGGCCGGTCCCTTGGCAGGTTTCTCAGTGGCGTCCTTCTCTTCCTCTCCGCTCTGCCTGTCCCCCATGGCTGATCCTTCCACCGCTGCTTCCTCAGCCCCCTTCTCCTGGGAAATCACCTCCATCGCAAACAGTGCTTGGTCCCCAGCCTGCCTTTTCCCCTCCTCTTCTCTAGCTTCTTTCTCCAGGTCCTCGTAATTGCTCTGCCGTCTGGTCTCAATGTACTTGGCCACACAGTAAATGACAGACCCCAAGGTGTTGACCACAACACCGGCTATAAATAACTTTGTGGGCTCCACATCATTGAACGCCACCATGCCCACCGTGATGGTTGCTATGCTCTTCACCACCCCTACGAAGCTGGTGGTCACAGCCGAGTTAATGTAGGTGCAGTGAAGGGTGGTAAAGTTCATGGCACAGCTAATCAGGATGCAAGCAATAAAGATGCATACCATGGCAGGGTCTTTCCACCCCGGGAACGACCAGACGTTGATGGAATCCATGCTGGCAAAGGAGCAGATGATGAGAAAAGGGGTGGCTGAAACAGCAATGGCGTACTGAGCTGTCAGGGGTCCGTATTCGCTATCTACACTGGTCTTCTGAATGAGCACCAGGTAGGCAGCGTGTATCAGCACGGCCAGCACGCCTGTCACATAGCCCATAGCATCCCCGGTCAGGTCACCAGCTCCTGTCGGGAGAGTCACAGAAAGAAACAAGCATGTTTTTTGCATGTGAGACAGAAAGAGAGCACTGTTTGGGGCTGGGGGGATATTTAGGAAATAGGCACCAGTGCCCTTCCCATAACTCCTAAGATTTGTCATGCTTTTCCCAAGGCTGGGCATACTTACCTCCCAACAGATACATCTTTTTTGTGTGCGTGTGTGTGCTACAAACCTACTGAATGTCATCCACTCTCCCGCTAAATCCCGCAGCCAAAATCAGATTGCGTTCTCCCTTTTGTGAAGACGCTGTGGGAGATTTGCAGCTGAAATCGCACATCCACACAGCAACGCTGGGCATCCTCTTGCCAGAGCGGGCACACGTCGGCTCCGGCTGGTCGGGCTCCCTGCCCTCCAGCGCCCCGGACCTCCCTTGGCCCTGCTGCTCCCCCCAGCAAGGCCAAGCTGTGTGGGCCCTCACAGCGAGAGCCTCCCTGCTGAGCGCCCAGTCAGGCTTCTTTGCAGATTAAGCTACTCGCCACGCGTGTGTGTGCTCTGTTCCCTGGGGCAGCCCCCAGCCCAGCAGTGTTGCTGGGCCACACGGAGCCAGCTTTGCCTCCCACCCCACCTACCCCTCGGCTAGAAATCAACACAGGCAGGGCCCCTGGCCCCATGGGGTTGCAGCTGACCCCGAAGGTTGCGCCTACCCCTGTAAGACTGCACTCACCCCAGTAGGGCTGCAGCTGCCCCCATGGGGTTGCAGTTGCCCCCAGAAGATTACATCTACCCCTGTAAGGTGGCACTCACCCCTCCCTCTATAGGGCTGCACCTTCCCTAATAGGGTTGCAACAAGGTTGCACCTACTCCCATAGGTTTACACCGACCTCTATAGGGCTGCACCGACCCCCATAAGGATGCACCGATCTCCGTGAGGCCGGACCGAGCCCTGTAAGCCTGTACCTGTCACAGCGGGGTCGCATCCCCCCC